ACCTAACCCGAAGGAGTCTATGCTGTGGCTGCTTCTGGTGAGATATTTTCATCTTGACACAATTGTTGTCGTGTCTCTGTCCAACACAGAACAAGATGACAGTTGTCCCAGACTGGAATATTCCACGAGTAACCAGTTCCGTGCCATGTTCAAATGCCACGCCTACTCTGGCTCAGGGATAAGGAGTGTAGTTGTGGCTCTTGAGATGTTCGGAAGATAGTCCAGTAGTGGAGTAGTGAATTGGGAGGCTTGACTGGAAAAGTTACAGATAAGAGGTTCAAGTCAAATTTAGGTCGTGAAGAGGAGGATCTGCTGGACCACTAGCTGTTTCACCAGTAACAGCATGGTCAGCATAAAAGTATAAAAAAGGCATTCATATACATTTCCAGGTGAGATTCTTTACAGCTTTTATAATTAAACCACTTGAAATCATCCTTCTATGTACTGTATTATAAGGACCACTTTCAGTCAACTAGCGATGTCTTGGTCAATAGCAATTGATCGATAAATAAACAAATGCTACGCAACGTTTATCGGTTATGGCGTCGAACAGGCGGTGTGTGGCTTGCGGTGGCTGCAGTGGTGAGAAACAGATGTGCCAGCAGCGATCGAATGGCGATCAGAGCGTTTTTCTTCAGCTGTTCAACGAACTTCCCATCATCCTCACACATCACTCTTTTCGACTTTCGTAGCGTCGTCGCCACATCTGGAAGCACTTGATCTTCCGAGTTCCGCTATTCATCAGCGCGAAAGTCGACCTGGTCGTTATCATAGGCGGGTCAGTGCCATCTGGACGTATCAATGTGCCTAGACCGTCCACATTAGCCTCTTTTGCATTATGCTGCTCATATGGGTAGCTGCCCTCTGTACACTTCCACGAGGTGCTTATTCCAACTACAGTATCGACTCTCGCCGTCCTCCACCTAGTACCGTACACCATGTGAAATTTTCTCTCCCATCAAATGGTACCGGTACAAAATCTTTCCGTACTTTGGATAGACTGCTGAAATTCGGCAATTATACGCTCATCCGCACCTCCACTGCAACTGTCAACAAGCCTTCCGATGGAGGGGTCGTGTTCCGACGTTATTATACCGACCCCATTTCCGCGAAGACGAAAAGAGCTGCTACAGCTCGCAAGGAGCGTATCTGGCCTGATGGCGTGATCCCGTATGTAATAGCTTCGAACTTCTCAGGTTAGTATTTTAATTATTTTTAATATTTTGTGCCCTTTGATTTTCTGCTTTTTTCTTCTGAAAAGGTGAAAATTAGACTGTTCCCTATGAGATTGAGCTGCGCCCTCAAAAAAGATTTGTGAAATGTATGCCGAGGTAATGCGCGCGTAAAATCAATACCTATTCCTAGGCACAGTGGTGGGGAAAGAAACGCGAAAGAATCCAGTCACCGCAGGTTGTGGTGATGAACTAAATTTCCCACCTTCCCTCACCACTCCTTCAAGTTTTGAATAACTCTTGTCTCCGTCGAGTAACGGGGTGGGGGGGGGGTGAGGCGTGCGGCGAGGTCAGGCCGCGCTCACTCTGGTCGTCTGGCATTTGCTAGTAGTGAATTATTCCAGGGAAACGGTCCACTACCTCGGCAAAGGGAGCAGATGAGCAGGCTTAATCGCGACACCGTTAGGCCCCTCTTCCTCGCGACTACGTTTCTTTAAATATTTAAATTATTGTGAATATTTCTATAATTGAACCCCAAACTTATCTACCTTTCTTGCAGGTGAGCATAAGAACTTGTTCCAGAGGGCAATGCGGCATTGGGAAAATTATACCTGTGTGTCATTTGTACCTAAATTGGAACATCATAAGCACTATATAATGTTCACGATCGACAAGTGTGGGTACGTTCATTTTGTCTTTCGCAAGTTTCCGACAGTCAAATTATGTCTCATTTCTCATCGAAACAACTTTTTACTGGGGTTACGCGTACAGATCACTGGAGCGATTGGATCGCGCTGTTGGCTCGCCTAGTATGAATGCGTTCTTAGTTGTAGACTGAAAAAAGGCTTACATTTTGCACAGGGGCACATCGTTGTTGCTGGGATTCAGCAGGGGGGGGGCGTATTTTGACGCAAGAGAGGGAGGCGGCTGTCGTGTTTGGGCTGAGAAGGAATATTGTTTTGATAGTTTATTTCTCTTCGTTTCACGGGACGCTCTGTAAAGGGAGGCGGGCCGCGCGGGGCGGGGCGGGGGCGGCCGCGCGGGGGCGGCGCGGGCTGCCGCGGCGCCCCGCGCGCGCGGCGCCCCGGCCGGTCGTACTTGGTCGTTTGTTGGGGGGGGGGGTCGTGTTTACGTGTATTCGCGTCTTGGCGTTGTAGGAGTGGTGGTTGACTTTTGGTGATTTTCCTGTTTCATGCTACTATATGCCCTCCACCCTCCCCCCCCCTCCGCTCGACGGCTCGATTCGATGAGTGAGGGGCCGGGGGGTGGTCGTACAGACTCGACTAAAATCCCCAACCAATGATGTGCCCTGATTCTGCATTCGAGCAGTGGAATCCCCAACTTCCCTTAGCTTGAGGAATACTTTACGATGGGAAGTTCTTCTATTCTAAGCTAAGTCGGCATACCTATTGTATTAAAAATTTCCGTTCTGCTCTCCATGCTCATTTGGCTTCTGGAAGATGCTCAGAAATAAAAAAGCAATGTTAATCTCTTCATCCTATGAGAAGTATGCCCCTATTGGACCTATTGAGGGCATTCTTGACAACTTCTTTCGCATTTTTCTTCACTACTAACTCTTTTCAACCTTTTTTGATCTCTTTATCGAGCCTAAACGAGTTGCGGCAAGATTTGTAATATAATGTGGCCTTCCTTCATTCACTAGACAGTAGTGTTGATATCGTCGCAACCAGCCGAGCGGTGTAAGGAGAGGCGGAATGAGCCAGCTCGTAGCTCCCTTTTCTGTCAACGGTGGTCGATTAGACATTGTTCACAGTCTGCGACCCTGACGAAACAGCGGTTCGGCGAAAAGCAATAAATACGTATTGATCGAGAATCGCCAACCGCTCTGGAGACCGCGGTTCGGCGGTCCGGCCTGAAAAGCAACAGATGTGTATCGATT